CGAGCGACGGAGAATTTCGTTTGGTATTCGATAAGATTGCATTTAGAGTCGCATATAGGGCGTTCTCAGTTTCAATCAATTGAATGCAAGTGTATTGTATAAATAAGAAAAAAGATTGCCATATGAAAATTGATTCGGAAATATTTATATATCGAAATATTAAAAAGAAACATATGCAGTCGGTCGAAATGACTGGTTTGACATTTTTTTATAATATTGCTGAATATTTTTAATATTGTTGAAACAATAAAGACTTCTTCATAGAAAAACATTGAAGAAATTTCTTAATAGAATCAGATATTTTAATAAAAATAGCGAAGGTAGGCACAGTCTTTTCGTCATTACAAAACAATGCAGGTTAGTTACCTTTAGAGCTTGGTAGTCTAATGCCCGTACAAATAAAATAATTAAAGGCACGAGCTTTTCATTTGTTTGTCATTCCAACAAATTCGAGTCATTTGGTCCAATTTGAAAAAAGTTATTCCGCTTTAAAGGGCGTACGAGAAATTTTCTAAGCTACTGTAATATTTCGTTTGTTTCAGGTTTATTAATTAGCGTACGTAATTGAAACGAATAAACGAATGATAAAAGCGTGAGTCTCACCACGTGACGTGACGTATAATATTTTTGAATGGTCTGTAAGCACTAGACGATTGTATTAGTACGTTCTCTGATGCCGCTGTATGAATCGCCCTGTATGATACGTTTACATCTGTGCGTATAACTCGAAACCTGTTGTGCAAAGGTATACACAGAGATATCGTGCCATTTAATAATCTGGACATATCAGATTGCCGAGCCACTTTTATCGGGGAATGAAAAATGGAGCAGACAATGAGACAGTTTGAAACGTAACAGAGCTTTCTTCATTTCTTCACCGGTAAAATGACCAGTAAGAAATGCGGATAGCCATTTGTACGTAATTCGTCGAACTTGGTACGTTCGATCGTGAATCTCTGCACAACAAATTGTAAGCTTGTGATTTTCGTGCATTATCAAATGTGTCACGTAATAGGTGAGATCAGAATATCAACGATTTAAGTTGGTTAATTTATAACAGAACTATAAAATGTAATCTACATAACGATCATTGTGTCATTGTGCTTAGTATTTTTTCCTGCTTCATTTCTAGTCGTGTAGAAAGAATATTTGTGAAGAATGTTATTCAACAACAAACGATTTATATCAGAAGTAGACGGCGAATTTAAAAAGAGAATCATGATCATGTTTAAGTTTGAGTGCCGTAATTAATTTAGGTAGTTATCTGCAAGAGAAACATGTAAGATTATACTTGATGTTAGATAAAAAACTAATCAACGTTAATTTTTCAATTATAAAATTTCTTTAGATCGCTTTTTCTTCATTATACATTTATTGATAAATGTGTGCACTGATCTATAAATGAAATTTTTTATTTTGGAGATTGCATTTGACAGTAAGTGTAAGCAAAAGATTGTTAATTTACAAAATTGTAGGATTACTATAGCATAATTGTAATTATTATCTAAATTCGATGTTAATATTCTGCATTTCGGCTGTCTAGCTAGTGAACTTAAGAGATGCAAGAAATGTAATTTCGTAAACTAAATGGCTAATTTATTGAACAATTTATTGATAGTTTTAAGTATTACATATTTATGAACCAACATTTTAGAGCTGCCTAAATTTTCAAATTGTAGTGACGTAATCTATTTCTACACCGAATTCTATTTTCTCACGTGCCAATTGGGAGGAAGAGTAAATACTTTTCAAACCAGATTATGAATAATATGTATTTGCAGTTTATAGTAAATTAAAAGTAACTTGGAACAGGTTTTCTACCGTATGATAACGTACTTTGAATGTCGATTGACTTATTAACAGATTACGGATTTTATGCATTTATGACAAACTTGAGCATGTGCAATTTAAAATGGTAAGAAGATGAAATGAAATTAAGAATGCCAAGTTATTATATTCAGTCAATTATAATTATTCAGGAAAGGTATAATTTTCTTCTTGCAATTGATGTAAATAATTTATATTGTGCGTAAAGATCCACAGTCTATCAATCAAAGTCCAAATTATGTTTTTGTGAGAAAAGGTTTATTCACAATCATTATTAGATTGCGGATCTTCATGTAAAAAAAATTATCTTCGAAAATTGCAACAAAAAGGACAGTATGTTTCTTTCTTTAATAGTTTAGATGAATTAAAAATAATACGCAGATGTCTTTAAGGTCTTTTAATATTTTCATAATCTCAAATTTTTTAGATACTCATTTCTGTCATGAATGCATAAAATCCGCAGTCTAACCGTTATTGTTTGAGAGGTAAAATATCAAATTACAGCGAGAAATAGTATTGAACGCAAAACAACCTTGGTAATAACCAATATTTTATATTTATATATAACGTGCCTTTCATCAAAGAGTACAATGTTTCTGTGAAACAAAGAATTATTTGAATCTTGTGATTTCAGGATTAAAGTTGTATCTCAAGCTTGAACAGAAATCGACACACGATTTTATCAGTAATTTTGAAACTGCGTGCTCGTAGAATACAACATGTCACACTAGCTTATAAGCAGTACACGATATTGTATTGTTATCGGCGAACGATATGGTCACGTTTTTCTTGTCACCGTTCCGCGATTTTTGAAAGTCACGCACGAATTGTGATTCGATATTTTTCGGCTGTATGAGTGAACAACTTGGCTCATCTTTCAGATCTATGGCTGAATTTGCGTATTCTTGGAAACGTGATCTTAAAGTTGAACGTTTTCTTGTAATTTAATAAGTCTATCTCGTTTGCGTTTATTGAATATAGTCGAACTTCTGATTGAACCTATGCACGTTTTTGGGGAGAGATTGAACATTTGCAATAATTTTTTAAAAACTGGACTAAATGAATTGCATTTTTTATATGTTAAAGTGAATAGTTCATTGTACAATGACCAAAATACCTTTTTTTTTTTAATTTGGCTAATACTTGGAATGACAACAGAAAAGCAACTTCTTCTTCTGCAACTTCTTTGTTTGAGCTTATAACAAAAATGTAAACATTACGTTTTGTAGATTTCGGTAACTTATGTGCATACTGAAAATTTCATCGAAATCGGTTGACGTTGTTATGAGTTAGAAACAATTAAAGATTGCATTGAAAATCGCAGTCTTTTACGAATCTACAACACGCATTTTTCAAATTTTCTTTCTAGGTTCAGATAAAAAAGTTAAAAAACAACGTTTTTTATATTTTTTGTCATTCTTAGTAACAGCAAAATAATAAAAAACGTATTTTAGTTAGATTGCCGGTTTAGTTAAATTAACTCGCTCCGGCAATCTCTAGTGTTACAAGTATTTTAATATTATAATAAACTAAACTCTTTAACATTAAAAAAAACACAACATTTAAAAAAGTTATTGCATTTTAAAAGGTGTTCGAATACTTTTTCCAGGGGTTGTAGTTACATTTAAACCTGTTTTCCAAATGAGCAACGATGGTCGCTTCTGTACTATTGAATCAACTACTCTGGTAAAGCGTAGAACTACTTGTTCTTATTATATAACCTTCAGATATAGCCTTTTATTGTTTCCTTTCGGCGAGAAATCTGATAGTCGAGCGGACATGACAGTGGCTGTTGTACGTATATTGGAAAGTCGCTGATCAATGTTATCACTTTATCTACATATTTAGTAATAAATTCGATTATCGTTTCGTATGAACCTTGATAGGGAACTTCGTATCGTGTCGAGCTCGTTCTGTATCATCTCAGCGGAAATGGGATTAAGATGCCGCGACAGTGACACTCATTTTGTGGAATAATATTTATCGTACTGTATCGCCAGATCGGGGCCATGTTTGCAGTAACAGAATGCAATCTTCGAATACAATACAGATAAAAGTATATGACACGTACGATTTGATTTCTGCAGGATACAGGAAAGTTAAACAGTGAAATCACTTTATGTGAACGTTTCAGCAGCGAATGCTTGTAAGAATTCGTACTACTATCGTGCATCGGTGTTTGCTGAATCACTGTCGATTGCTGATCTTAATTTAACCAGAGATAAAACTGTAAACTGTTTGATCTTCAACGATTTGCTTAATAATTTGTAGTAGCAAGCAGGACGAACTTCTTGTGCTCGATAATACCGTGTAGAGTGTGTAACGTAAGAGCGTGCGCGCAATATCTTTAAATTGGTGAGAATTTCTATTGTGTGTATAATACCCACTATAGTAACATTACCGTAGTAATATCATGCGTATACGAATATATATTAAAAAAAGTAACGTGTCCATGAGCACCGATGTTTCGTTAGCACCTCTCGCGGGAATTCATGGAAGTAAACTCTTAGCGTGGTAGGGTAACCGTAGTCGGCCTCCTCTCTTTCTTACACCGTGCTGTAAATATAACTTTTGTACAACATATTTTATATTTTATATTACACTGTTATCTAGTAATGTGTCTAGTCTCTTCCATTAGCAATTGTTACCTGGTAATGTCTAGACATGTTTTCCCCTGACTTTTCAGCTTAAGATGAAAAGTGGATGTGTAATAGCTTTTTGAATTACTACGAGTTCACCTTTTTAAAAATTGTTAATTTGTCGTTAAATTATATCTATAGTTTCTACAGTAAATGGTTTCACGTTACATTTATTATCTTGAACCTATAACAAAATGTCGGATTGTAGAGAGTTACGTACTAATTTTCAGAGAAGACGTTCACGCTCTTACGTTACACATTATAAATTTGAGTAATAAATATCAGTCTAGCTGATATTGGAAATGAAGCAGTTGGAAATAAAATAATTCAGTCGATATTAACCCTTTGTACTCGAAGTGATTTTAACTTTGAAACTAAGATATCGTTTAAAAAACGATGTAGCAATTTCTAGTAGTACCTCAGTGTTGCCATTCGAGTGCAGAGGGTTAAATATAAATAAATATATAATTAATATATAATTAATATATAATTAAATATAAATAATTAATGCTCTATCATTCCTTCTTGTTACAGGATAAAACATAAATCGTTTACAATGTTCAGGAGCGAGACGATGGCTCTCTGCCAGCTGTTCATTCAGCCAGAGTCTGCCTATCAATCCGTCTCTGAACTTGGTGAAACCGGTACTGTGCAGTTTCGCGATGTAAGTTCTGTTAGACATAATCCTTAATTAACTAATTTTATCAGTCACATTAACTCATTGTCTCATCACCAGTCCAGAAACGTCATATTGTTATTACAACTTACGGAAGCACAAAAATATTATGAATGATGAATTATATGAGAAAATCGTGCAATAAGAAATTGGAAAAATATACGATTTACGACAAAATAAAATGAACCTCTCAGCGGGGCTCGAACCGTGTCAAACAGACTCACAGTTGGGCACCCTAATCGTTGCGTCGAACAATAGTTACGAAACCTTACGAAAGCAATCTTCCTTTTAATTCATTTTGAGTTTCATTTCTTACATTCAATGGTTGCTTATTTGAACGAAGAAACGTTTAATACTGTATAATACACTTACTGAGAGGACAAACTCAAGTATTATTTAGTTTCTCACGGAAAAAACGCCAAAAGTTTAGTTTTTATATTGCTTCACTTTACCGCAGCTCTTCTAAAAGTCTACAAAAAATTGATAACAATACTTCTGGTAGCATCTTATCAAGAAATTAAAATGTCGGGGATAAAATTTGCAGTTTATAAAAAATCCGCATTTTCTCGATTTTTTAGTGGTCTTTTATTTTTGCAACCGCAGCTTGCAACTGAAAAATCTGAAAAAATTCTTGTGGTTTGTGATCCAAAATGTGTCACATTTTTCCAACCTTTTGAGTAGCCTCAGAGAGAGGAAAATGACTGGAAAAGTGAGCGGTATAATTAACCTGGTAACAATTCTTACGAGCATGCTACAAGGTTGGAGGAATTTGTTTTGTCAGCTGTCGAGCGATGGCATATTTGTTGAAAAACCTATAATAGTAGACTTTCATGACAAAAATGGGTACATGAAATTTAAAACAATTAAAATATTACAAGAATTTAAGGGCATGTACGTATTATTTTCAACTCACTAGGATCAGTAAAGAAAGAGAAAAACTTCTATTTTGACTCACACTAGTTTCAATTGCTGAAGATAAATTTTATTTTGCATAAAGATCCGCAATCTACTTATAACACTTATAGGATTTTTTGGTTTTCCATAACTGTTCCAGTCGGAACCGACATATAAAAATTTAAAACAGTTATTATTGGAACCTATTCCATTTCTTATCGCTTTCATAAAATGTTGCTTCGTCAGTGAATTAAAAAATGCAAGCACACAATGTTCGTATAGTTCACCTCACACGTTAGTTGCCACCATTTCAGTTATAAGATTAGACTAAAATTGATAAGTAACCCGTGTATAACAACTGTATAGCGTGTTTAATATTTGTTTAACTATAATTTCTATTTGTTATGGATGTCTTCGTAGCTAAACGGCGATGTCAATTACTTTCAACGAAAATTCGTCAGCGAAGTCCGTCGGTGTGACGAAATGGAGCGGAAGCTTCGGTACATCGAATCGGAAGTCAGAAAGGATGGTGTACCTATCCAGGATAACCTGCCTGAGTTACCACGTGCGCCGAACCCCAGAGCCATCATAGATCTCGAGGTAAACAAATATTTTTTGCATATTTTGGTGATCTTTGTTCGAAAGAAGTACATAGTGTGGTTTCAAAAAGTATTCATATACACTGATTCTCTCTAATTTTCTCTAATTGACGTTCAGATTGTACACAAAAATGGATAGTTTGGGAAAAGAAGATACGATTATTCGAGTCTTGCGGCTCGTTTTTATAGTTGTTGACAATCGGTAACTACGCAGGGCTCGCAGGGCTCGAATAATCGCATCCCCTCTTCCCAAATTGTCCATATTTGTGCACAATCTGAGAATCAATTAGAGAGAATTGATTGTATTCGAAAAATCGTCCGTGTCCAAACTGTTATAATTTCATAAAATAGCGCCACATAACAATAAATCTCGACTCATTTTGAAGGCACATTTATATGTTTCATAATAAAATCAAATTCTCACGTATTTAAATTATTAGCTGGAATTAAGTTCGCAATGCATACATATCGCAAAAGGAACGAAGGAACAATTTTCAATTAAAAATACTAGAATTAATTGTTATTGCAGGCGAATCTCGAGAAGATGGGGAACGACATTTTAGAGCTGAGCCAAAACGCGGTGAACCTGAAGAGTAACTATCTCGAGTTGACGGAATTACGGCACGTGCTCGAGAAGACCCAAGTCTTTTTCACGGAGGTAGCTAAAGTAGTTCAGCAGCTTTTGCTCATAGCATCGTCCTCCTTCGTGTAAACGATGTTACCGTTCTGTCGGGGAATCAAGATTCGTCTCATCTTCTTCTGTATCAACAGGAAGAGGCCAATGACTCGATGAACAGGACGCTGAACGAGGACGTACAGATTCAGAGCGTCACCGGCCATGGACGTCTTGAGTATGTTGCTCTTTTTTTATTAACTATCAGCAATGTTATAGATAAAATTGTTTTCAAGAAAATGTCTTCTACGGGGACAACTCGCGTAACACGATGACAACTCTTAGAAATTTTTCTTCAAACACACTCTTCTCTACATTTTTGTTGGAACTTATAGGGTGTTGTTGTTATGTAGCTTTGAAAGCAGAAAATTTTTAAGTAGACCGCGAATTTTATGTATTTATGCTAAGATTGATCAGGTGAAATACACTAAAGGAAAATATCAGAAGAATTTAAGAAAGTTCTTACATTTTCCTTAATTTATTGAAATTATTAAAAGCAGAAATATATTTTAATTCAATTTGTATGTTTTAAAACTCATTGTGTCAATTTTTATTTTATACGAAGATACGCGGTGTACTGATAACGTTTTGGAATTAAGCAGCAGAATTTTTGTAGAAAAGATATTACTACAGTGAGGCTGTGATCACTTTAGTACGCTATAATATTACGAGTATAATATAGGATAGTAATAATAGATTGTTATACAACGAGTAACAAATTGCAGGATGATTTTTATCTACACCGTTTATTCTAGTTAAATTCATTATTTGAGTCGTTTGGAGTAACGACTATGTGCTTACGCTTATATAATATTTTTATTTCCTCTCGTAGAGTATACTGGCAGAGTTCGATCATTTTCTATTGATATGCAATGCAAGTCTATATAAATATAATATGTGTAACAGAAAAAATAACTGCGTACTTAAATTATGTAATGAAATGTTAGTCATGGAAAAATAGATTTACTTTTAAACGATTATAGTTAACCTAATTTTATTAAAATATCTTTAGATAACACAATTCATATAAATATTATTCTTTTGTGTTGCTTATTTATTTTCGTCAATTCGAT